CCCCCCCCTTTGCTCCTCTCCTTGAAAAGCAAAAAAAAAAAAACTCCCTCATTGGTACACAATTAACACTCTTAGTACCAGCAGTCAGGAAAATCTAACTAGAGACAAAAAATACCTATATAATGAAATGATAAAGTATTACTATAAGAAGCAAAAAAAGAACCAGACAAATGGAAGAATACACCATACTCATGGACAGAAAGACTCAATATCATGAAACTGTACCAAAGGAATTTCAATTTTATTGCAATCCCAATACAGATACCAATTCCATTTCATCAGAAAGATGGGAAAGGCAATTTCCAATTTTACATGGAATGGAAAGACACCTTGAGTAAGTTAAACACTACTGAAAAAGAGAGACAAGGTAGAAGGCATCACATTCTCTGATTTCAAATCCTATTACACAACTTTGGTAGTCAACAGTTTGATACTGGTACAGTGATGGTACCATGACAAACAATAAATCAAGAGAACAGAATTGAGAACCCAAAAATTAGCTCATCTATCTATGGCCAATGTTGGGAAACAACAGCTTTTTAAACAAATGGTGTTGGCAAAATTGGAAAGCCATCTTCAGAACACTCAAGCATGTTGATGTTAGGTGCCGTTGAGTCTCTTGCGACTCATAGCGACCCTATGTACATTAGCTCTAAACTCTTCTCTGTCCTGTGCCAATCTCATTGCCTCCAACACACTCATCCCGATTGCCCCAGGCACCCAATCAATCCATCTTCCAGAGAGCCTTCCTCTCCTGCGCCTGCCCTCCACCCTCCCAAGCATGATGTCCTTCTCCAAAGACCGGTTGCTCCTTACAACATGACCAAAGTATGTCAGACGAAGCCTCAGAATCCTTGTCTCCAAGGAGCAGCCCTGTTTAACCCTCTCCAGGATGAATCTGTTTGTTCTCTTAGCAGTCCATGGTACTCTCAGCACTCTTCTCCAACACCAAAGCTCAAAAGCATCAATTCTCCTTCTATCCTCCCTGGTCATTGTCCAACTCTCTGATGCATAACAAGTGACTGCAAAGACCATGGCCTGTACCAGACACACCTTAGTCTCCAGAGACACACCATTGCTCTTGAGTACTTTAGAGAGGTCCCTAACAGCAGACTTTCCCATGGCAATACGTCTTTTAATTTCCTGGCTACTGGTGCCAAGAGTGTTGACTATGGAGCCAAGCAAACTAAAGCTGTGAACAATCTCAATCTCTTCACCATCCATCCTAATGCTGCCAATTGGTCCAGTGGTGAGAATTTTTGTCTTGACATTGAGCCTCAATCCATATTGAAGGCTGCAGTCCATGACCCTCAGTAGCAAGCGCTTCACGTCCTCCTCAGTTTCAGCAAGCAGGGTTGTATCATCTGCATAACGCAGATTGTTTATGGATCTTCCACCAATCCTGATGCCACATTTCTCCTCATAGAGTCCAGCCTCTGGGATGATCTGTTCTGTATACAGGTTGAAAAGGTATGGAGACAGGATGACTATTTAAAAAAACAAAAAAACCCAAACAACTCAAGGTGGATCAGGGATTAGGAGAAAAATAAAAGACAATAAAATTCATCAGAGAAAATATCAGAATTATTCTAGAAGCCCTAATCAACAACATGAACAGACTTTCAAGCATAATGGAAAAATCTATAACCATGAGAGATTAAAATAAAAGAATGGGACTTTCTAAGAATCAAATTCTTATGCATATTTTAAAAAAACCTTCTCCAACAGGGTAAAAAAGAAACTCACAGATGGGGAAAAATATTTGGCAATGACATACTGATATTTAAAATTTATAGAATACTCTAACATCTCAACAAAAAAAAGGTAAACAACCCAGTTTCAAAATGGACACCGTATATCAATAGACACTTCACCAAAGAAGATATTTAGATGGCAAACAAACACAAACAAAAAAAAAGTCCAAAATCTCTAACTATTAGAGAGATGCAAATCCAAACAACTATGAGATACCATCTCACCCCGGCAACAATAGCAAAATTCAATAAAGCAGCAAATAACAAATGCAAGTGAGGTTGTGGAAATATTTGAAACTTTATTCACTGTTAGTGAGAGTGTAAAATGGTGAAATCACTATGGAAGGTGTCTAGTGCTTTCTCAAAAAGCTGGAAATAGAAATACCTTTTGACCGAGCAGTTCCACTACTGCAAATATACCTTAAAGAAACCAGGGCTGCCACTCAAACAGGTGTATGCTCACCCATCTTTATCATTGTAGCCAAGAGATGGAAGCAAACCAAATACCCATTAACAAATAAATGGGTAGGAAAAACTGGTACATTCACACAATGGAATATTACGCAGCACTTAAAAACAACTCATAAAACATTACACAACATGGTGACCCTGGAAAACATTATGTTGAGTGAAATTTCTCAGTTACAAAAGGACAAATACTGCATAACACCGCTTTTATAACATAGGGCTAACATAGGAGGTTGAGGGAGAATAGGAGGGATAGATGTATTGGGAAAGAACTGTTTAAAGGGTATATAGGAGGGGGGAAAATAAAGACATGATTAGGTATTATATGTATGATGGCAACAATCCGGAATAAGAGGTGCTTTGCAAAGTGTGCTGGGGAGGAGGATGGAAGGGGAAGGGAGGAAATTGTGCAACAATGAATGAAAATAAAACCAAAAAAGAAGAAAGTGAGCTGGGTGATGGGGAATGAATGGGGATAGAGGAAACTGCAACAATGAATGACTGAAAAGCCAACTTTTCTGTAAACTCCCATTAAAATCACAATAAAATACAAAAAAAGCCACATACTAGGAAAGAGGAGGGGTCAGCAAAAGTGAGAAAGACCTTCAACCTAATGAATTGATGCAATAACTGTAATGATGGGCTTGAGCAGGGCAAAAAAATGTGAGGTGGACAGAGAATAGGGCAAGGTTACCATTTATTGTTCACAGAGTAGCTAAAAGTCATAATTGACTTAGAGGCACCTAATAGAAGAATGACAGCATAAAATATAACAGATACCCCATGTAAAACCCTTCTCCAGCTCTAGACCTCTCACTGGGGCAGCCAGAAAATAGTTTACAGAATACTAATTTTATTGTTTCTATTAGTTACTATTTTCTCTGCTGAGGAAGGGCAGGACGAAACAGCAATATATCTTTACAAAAATATTGTATAGCTCACATTCTTATTTGAAAATAGAAAACGCTACTGCTTCCTAAGCCTCACATATGCAGCACAGAATCAACAAGAAACCCACCACTGTGGCTCATGATCAGAGACAGAATGAAACAGACAGAGACATGGTGCCAGTGATATGCCATATGGCCACAAATCTAAGGGCTCTGAACGATGCTGCATTTGTGTAAATCCCTGAATACCTGCTTTCATTCCCATTTCAAGTGTTTGAACTATAATATATGGGTTATCTATTTATTAAAGGAGAGAGCTTACTTTGGCATGGGATAAATTGGTGCTTGCAGCAAGATGCAGGTTTAATACAAAGGATGTTTCTTGAATTCCTTTCAAATCTGAGATCCACAGCTTAAGAGCATTTGCTGTACATCTTTTTAAAATTGCATGACCATTATACAATCTTCTTTTCTTAGCTGGCATGAGAAGGATATTCCCATCCTCTCTATGCTCTGTTCTTTACTTCCTCAAAGCTGAGGCGGCAAAAACACTGCCAGCCTTATCCAGATTTCATGGAAAGCCGCCACTCTTAGCTGGCGCCTAAATGCAATTGCAGACTGTCCCAGGAGACATGCATGCTTTGAGGTGAATTTATAACATTAGGGCCAACAAAGAAGCTAACACAAACTTTCACTGTTCAAAAGAAAAGGGGAAAGTCTACAGGCTTACTGAAGGAGTTCTGCTTCTGTGAGTGCCTCTGTCCTCTGCTCCCCTGTGGTGATGGCTAGTTCATCCTTCAGTTCCTGTATTTCCTTCTGTAGACGGATAATCATCTAAAAATGGCAAAGTGGGAGAGTAATGTCAGCTTCTTATTAAAGTGGACTTGCAGGCAGAGAAGACATATCTTTGGAAACCAGGAAATATTTTAAGTAAACTGAATTATATAGAGAATGATATAAAAGCACTTTCATATCCACCACATGTGTCGTTGTTGTTAAGTGCCTTCGAGTCACAGGCGACTCACAGTGACCCTGTGAATGAAAGACCTAAACACTTGAATACCTTTTCATTGTTTCTCCATATTCATAGGGTTTCTAGAGGCAAGCTGTTTCAGAAGTGGCCGCCACACCTGCTTCCAAGCTTGTTTTAATCAGGGAGCTCCACCAAACACTGTCCAACAAGGGTAACCATTATCACATTATCAGTCAAATCCACCACATAGCTTTGTTAAATCGTAACCTTTAGACAAACTAATACAAGAATATTTTCTTTTCTCTCTCTCTCTTTAGCAAATAAACATTACTAATATAACTGCAACTGTCTTATATAACTCCCCAATCACATTTGCTTTCCGTCCTTCTTGAGTACCACTAGGTTGAATTTAGTAGGTATCACATCCCTATATGTTTTCATATCTTTATCTTATGTGCATTTATGGATCCATAATAATGTATGTTGTTTTCTATATAATTTATGTAAGTGTAATCATGCTGTATGCAATATAACTAGTTTCCTCCCTATACTGTTTTAAAATTATTCATATTGTTTCATCAAAAATTAATAATTTTCATGGGTACATAATATTTCAGTCAAGGAATAGATTACAATTTATTTATCTATGATTCTTGTGGATGAACATTTAAGGATTTTACTTTTGCTGTTACAAATAATATTGTGTTGAAAATTATAATAACTCTCTATGGACATGTGAGAGTGCTTTTAGAGAATATATCTAGAACTAGAATCACTTATTTATGGAGCATGTGCATCTTTCCCTTACTGTATGTGAACAAACTGCCCTTCAAAGTAGTTGTTGAAATTTATATTCTCACCAGCTGTTATAAAGTCCTTGTGTCCCCGATATCCTTACAACTATGTAGTATCAATAGGCATTTTAACTTTACCAATCAGGTACTTGAAAAATGGTATCTAATTTAGATTTCATTTTCTTTTTATTTAGTCTGACTCATAGCATCACTTCATTGGTTTTCCTGAGATTGTAAACTTTTTTTCCCTCTTCTCTTCTCACTATCTACATCACTGGGCCAATTGGTAACATCATGATAAATGGTGAAGAGGTTCAGATTACTGACAACTTCAGTTTGCTTGGCTCTACAACCAGCACTCTTGGTAACAGCAGCCAGGAAATTAAAAGATGAATTGCTTTGAGAAAGTCTGTTGTCAGAGACCTCTCCAAAGTACTGATTGTCCCCTTCTAACAACAAGACTAAAGTATGTGACACATAGTTTCACTATCCTTGCCCTCAAAGAGCACCCTGTTTTTGTTGTTATGTGCCGTTAAGTCGCTTGCGACTCATAGCGACCCTATGTACAACAGCCCTAAACTTTGCTCTGGCCTGTGTCAATCGCATTGTCTCCAATACACCTATATCGATTACCCCAGTCACAGAATCAATCCACCTCATAGAGGGCCTTCCTCTCCTGCAGCGTCCCTCTACCCTCCCAAGCATGATGTCCCTCTCCAAGGACCAGTCAGTCCTTCCTTAAGAACATGTCCAAAGGATGTCAGATGAAGCCTCAGAATCCTTCCCTCCAAGGAACAGACCAGTTTGACACTCTCCAGGATGAATCTGTTTGTTTTCTTAACAGTCCATGGTACCCTTAATATTCTTCTTCAGCATCATAACTCAAAGGCATCAATTCTCCTTCTATCCTCCCTAGTCATTGTCCAACTCTCTGACAAATAACAAGTGACTGCAAAGACCATGGCCTGTATTAGATGCACCTTAGTCTCCAGAGAGACACCATTGCTCTTCAGTACTTTGGAGAGGTCCCTAACAGCAGGCTTTCCCATGGCAATGCGCCTTTTAATTTCCTGGCTACTGGTGCCAAGAGTGTTGACTATGGAGCCAAGCAAACTAAAGCTGTGAACAATCTCAATCTCTTCACCATCCACCTTGATGCTGCCAGTTGGCCCAGGGGTGAGAATCTTTGTCTTCTTGACATTGAGCCTCAATCCATATTTAAGGCTGCAGTCCTTGACCTTCTACAGCAAGCACTTCAGCAAGCAGGGTTGTGTCATCTGTACAACACAAATTATTGATGAGTCTTCCTCCAATCCTGATGCCACATTTCTCCTCACAGAGCTCAGCCTCCAGAATAATCTGTTCTGCATATGGGTTGAAAAGGTATGGAGATATGATGCATCCCTGATGTACACCCTTACCAATTTTGAGCTATGCAGTGTTCCCTTGCTCTGTTCTGACATCTGCCTCCTGGTTCAACTATAGGTTTCACATAAGCACAATCTGGATATGAATTTGTTTTACACAATACTCACATTGTCCCTCAATCTGTAGTATGTTTTCTACTTTTCTGTGTTCTTCTTATTAAATAGAAGCTTTAAATTTCAGTGTAATCTAATTTATCAATTTATTACTTTATGAGTTGCATCATTGTACCTCTTATGGGAAATCTATCTTAAAAATAAAAAAAGTATAGAAATGAGGCTGGAGAGCAAATGAGAGAATTTTGTGCATTCAATGATTTATTCATATCTTTTATAAGAAACACAAAAGGCAATATTACAGATGGACCTCCCCTGACAGACTGCACAGGAATCAGACTGACTACATCTATGGAAAGAATCATTGGAGACATTCATTATCAGCAGTCAGAACCAGGACAGGTGCTGACTGTGGAACAGACCATCAATTACTCAAGTGCAAATTCAAATTGGAACTGAAGAAGATTGAAACAAATTCATAAGAACCAAAATACAGCATTCAAGTGTATCTCACTTGAATTTTTAAAAATCATCTTAAGAACAAATTTGAAGTAGTGACATTAATGATTGAAGACTAGAGTAGCTGTGGGATAAAACCAAGGATATTATTCATGAGGAGAGCAAATGGTCATTATAAAGACAAAGGAGAAGAAAAAATAAAAATGGATGTCAGAAAAAAAAAAAAGCTATCGCAATTACATTAGAATGTTGAGAAGCCAAAACAAAGGGAAGAGATGCTGAAGTAAAAGAGCTGAACAGAAGATTTCAAAAGGGCAGCTTGAGAAGACAAAGTACTATAAGGAACTGTGCAAAGAGCTGGAGTTAGAGAATAAAAAGAGAAGAACTTGTTTGACATTTCTCAAGCTCTGAGAATAAAAAAAAAATAAAAAAAAAATAAAAACCCAAAACAAATCCAAGACTAGAGTTGCAATACTGAGAGATTTCATGGGCAAAAATCTTAAATAATACAGGAGGCATCAAAAGAAGATGGAAGGAGTGTACAGAATCACTGCACGTGCGCGCGCACACACACACACACACATGTTGACATTGAAAAATATCAGAAAGTACCATATCAACAAGGGCCAATGGTAACAAAGAAAGAAACTGAAGCTGCGTTTGAAAACACTGGCAAAAACAAAACCCCAGAAATGGTTTATCAAGTAACATGCTTCAACTAACTGATGTAACTCTGGATGTGCTAACTAGTCAATGCTGGGGAATTTAGAGGCCGACTGTGACCAACTGGCAAGAAGAGATTCATATTTGTTCTCAATCCCAAAAAAAGTGATCTAACAGAATGTAAATTATCAAATGATATTATATGCAAGCAAAATATTGCTGAAGATTATCTAAAAATGGCTTGAATAGTACATTGACAGAACTGACAGAAGTTACAGCTGAGTTTAAAAAAGAGGTGACATCAGATATATCATTGCTGATGACAAATGGGTCCTGGCTAAAGCAAAGACTATCAGAAGGATATCAATTTGTGCTTTATCGACAGTGCAAAGGCATTTGACTGTATGAAATCATAACAAACTATGGCTAACACTGAGAAGAATGAGAATCCCAAACCACTTAATTGTGACCCACAGGTTGTTGTATAGAGAAAGGGAACACTATATGGTTTAAAGTAAGGAAAGGAGTATGTCAGGGTTATATTCTCTCTCCATACTTACTCAATCTATATGCTGAGAAAATAATTCATGAAGCTGGACTCTATGAAGAGGAACATGTCATCAAGATTGGAGGAACACTCATCAGCAACCTGCATTATGTAGATGATACAAATTTGCTTGCTGAAAGTACCTGAAACACTTGCTTAGAAGAACAGAGACTAGTCTTCAATACATAAATTATATCTCAACACACATACACACAAAGTCTTTATCACTGAGCCAAAAGACAACATCGTAATAGATGGAGAAAAATTGAAACTGTTAATGATTTAATTTTACTTGGATTTACAACCAACAACTTTCAGAAGACAGAAGACATATTGCTTTGGACAAGGCCATAGTCACAAACATCTCCAAAATATTGAAGGGAAATGATGTCAGTTTGAAGACTAAGGTATGCCTGATTCAGGTCATGGTCTTTTCATTCACCCACTATGCATATGAGAGTTCTAGTAGGGTGCTGAATATCTCATGGACTGCTTAAGGAATGACCAGATACATCATGGGAAAAGGGCAGCCAGAGTATTCCTTGGCAGCAATCATGATGAAGTTTTGTCTTTCACAATCTGGACATGTTGCTCAGAGAGTTTATCCTTTACAAAAGGATATTCAGCTTGGGAAGGTAGTGTCAGCAAAAGAGAAAAAGATGATCCCCAGAGATAGACTGACATAGTGACTTCAACAATGGGCTCAAGTTATGTCAGAAATTATGAACTTAACACAGTACGGGATAGGACAGGATTCAGGTATGTTGTTATTACAGTCAGAGATAGATCGAACATGCAATCAAGATGCACTGATAATAACGGGTGACTGAAATGCAAAAGTTGGGAACAGTGAAGAAGAATCAGTAGTCGGAAAACATGGGCTTGGGGACAGGAATGAAGCTGGAGATAGAATGATT